TTTTTCAAACAAACGTGAAATCTACATATTCTCTACCCGTCTCACTCTTGGTCTTCTTCTGGGTCTCCTCTAGATCTTCTTCTTCATTTTCGTTAGCATTTGCCATGATTAATTGTGCAACTTCATCATCTGAAGTCATTGTTGATTCGAATCCCGATTGCGAGATAACATCACCAATCAAAGTCTTCCATTATAGATATACGCATTGCAAAAATCCTCAAAGTCAAGTTTCTTAGGTTTACTTCCCAAAATTTGAGATAGCATATTATCTTGTATAAGCTTCCCGATACATCTTTCAGGACTTATAAAAGTTTCTAGTAGATGACCTATTGCCTATTGGTCACTAATCCTGTAACTTGTATTCTTTAATTTTAGCCAATGTTGGTACACGCTTCGTATGTGATTGTCAAGTTTTAAAGATTCGTCTACCTCAAAATCAAGGTAAGCTCGAATATCTATCTCTTGTTGACTAACATGATTCCTTCTCCTAGCATTTTATCTTCCCCTAGCCATCTGTCACTTACAACCTTGATTTCTAACCCAATACATGACTACTTTATTTTTATTTTATTTTTTTTCAATTTACATTTATCTTTGCATACATATATACATAAAGAAAAATGTAGAATGTATCGTAACATGGAAAAAAAATAACATTAGAATCCTATCACTTTTCACAATAAGAATTTTTCACTTTTCTTAACATACCTGGGTCATATGATAAAGATTTAATTTAAGATTTTACTTAAAAATTGTGTTTTTTTTTTCTTTTAAATATTATATATTTTCTCCATGCATATTACCTATTTTATTACATGGACAATGCCATGCATGTCTTTACCAATTAAACAAAAGGTTTTAAATAAATTTTCCATGTATGTACATTTTTAAACAGTAAAGAAAATTAAGCTATTTTATTTTTCCATTTTGCATGTCAAGTGCTAAAATAAATTTGTTTACGTAGTTATCAATTTCAAAATTTCACAAAATTTTAAGGGAAGGTAGGAAACTTCTTATAATATGACACAGCCAAAAATCAGCTTCTTTCAAAGGTGCTAAAATATTTTTTAAATTTCCGTTAACGACTCGGTTTGGAAAATAAACCAGCGTAGTTTACTTAAAATAAAATACAAAATTCTACAGACATCGAATTGACAAGATTTCAAATTTATTCAGTAGTTAACCCATTAAACTATCAAACCCCATTAGTTTTATCCAAAATTTCAAGTAACGATTGGTTACGAATTTTTGAAGTCAAGGACAGAAGATGAAATTTTAAAAATTGCAACACTAAATCTTATTGCTTACATTTTTGTGATGAATAGTAACTTGTACGATAATTATAAAACATAACTACTTTTAAACATAATTAATTCATTAAAATCGTCTTATAATAGTGTCACAAATAATGTTCATAGAAATTTATTTATTTAAAAAAAATGTAAACATTTCATATTCGAATAAAAACATTAAGTCATCGACTTCTTCATAGCACAATGCATCTTCATCTATCATCATTCATGCTCTAAGCAGATCAGATCAACCCATAGAAAGGGAATTAATCCATGAGTTTGAAACTCAATATATATCATCGTTGCATTTCGTTATTAAATTACAAAATTCGAGCTATATATTCATACCATCACATGTAGATGAAATTTCAGCAAAATTCAATTTCTATAGAATTATCATAATATGTAGAGATGAATAATGATCATTCAAGCTATAGTAGTGCCGAAGTATCGTGCCAGAAGGTACCAATTCATTCATACTTTTAACGAAAAATCATATCTTGTAAACAAAATAACCACTTACACCTATACCTACCTTAATTTTTGTTTTGAAATATAAAGGAACAAAATGTGTGAGAGGATTTGTCCTTCACACCCTTACTATTCCTTTAAATTTATCTTAACATAAAAGGTACTTTGAAAGAAAATAAGAATAAATTCACCTTGAATTTATTTTTATTTTTTTGAAATAAAAGGAACAAAATGTGTGAAAGTATTTGTCCTTCACACGCCCTTGCTATTCCTTTAAGCTTATCTTAACATAAAAGGTACTTTGAAAGAAAATAAGAATAAATTTGGATTTGAGGAGAGGTGAATTAAAAAAGTGAATTTTTCTCTTCTTTTAACCTTCCTTTTAAGTGGAAAATTAAATGGAAGAGTTATATTATCATTAAAATTATTAAATTGAGTCTTTAACTAGGAATTTAAAGGGTATTAAGCCATAAAAATAATTTTCATAAAAAGTTTCATAAAACATTTATATAAGGAAAAATAGAGGAAAATAAACTATTCATATGGTTTGTAACCTATTTATATGAATGCCCACTAATAAAAAATTAGTTCATCCTGTTAACTTGATATGATTGTTCTTAATGTGCAAAATGATGTGTTTTTAACTCAAAAGTAATTTTATAAAAGCATCTACATGAAATTCAAACATAAGTTGCTTATGTAAAATACCAGGCTGATGACCATTGTGACAACTTTTATTCATTAAATCTTTGTAATCAAATTTATTTAAACTTAATCTCTTAACAACCCTTATTCATTAAATCTTTGTAATCAATTTTACTTAAACTTAATCTCTTAAATTGTTGGACTTTTAAATAATTTATGACTTGGACTTTCATTACCTTAATTGGGCGGCGACCCTCTTAAATGGATTACATCAATCAATTTAAAAATATAAATTCAGAACTTTACATAAATTGTCTTTGATTTATCCTTGCAAATCACTAAGAGCCTGACAATTATGATCCAATAACATTAATGTGATAAAAAGTTTCGATCTGGACATCTTAAAAGGTTGTTTATTTCTTCTCGAATGGACATTCACAAGAGTGCTATCAAACACTAGTTTAGGTGATAAATGAATGACATTAAATAATTGATTCACTTAAAAACAATTTCATATGATTCATTTAGTTGAATATATCAAA